ACGGAGTGAGCGAGTACCATGTGACGGATGAAGCGAGAGAGGACTATGAGAGAGAGCTGGAGACGTGGATCGAGAACGGGTGGCTGCTGGAGTACGACGAAGAAAAGCATGGCGCTCCCAAAGGGCTGATACCGTTAATGGCTGTGGTTCAAGAGAACAAGGCGAAAGTGCGGCCGGTCCTTGACTTCCGGGAAATGAACACTCACGTCGACACGTTCACGGCGGACGTTGACGTGTGCAGTGAGAAACTTCGTGAATGGCGCCGAACGGGTGAGAAAGTGGCACTCCTGGATCTGAAGAAGGCGTACCTTCAGATACATGTGGAGGAGTCACTGTGGCCCTATCAGACAATCGAGTTCAAAAACAAAAGGTACTGTCTGACGAGACTTGGGTATGGTCTTAATGTGGCACCCCGAGTCATGAAGACGGTTCTGGAGACAGTGGCGAAGCAGGACAAGAACGTGGAGAAGGCAGTATCGTCGTATGTCGATGACGTTCTGGTCAACGAGGAGGTAATGTCGGCCGAGAAGGTGGCCGAGCACCTTCAAGCCTTCGGTCTCGAGTGTAAGGACCCCGCTCGCGCACAGGAAGGCGCTCGGATTCTCGGCCTCCGAGTCTGGGGGGAGCAAGGCGCACTCATGTGGAAGAGAGACAATGATGTCCGAGAAGTTGCCGGACCGGTGACAAAGCGGAAAGTGTTCTCCCTCTGCGGGCAGCTGACGGGGCACCTTCCGGTGTGCGGCTGGCTGCGGCCGGCGACCTCGCTCCTCAAACGACGTGCGAACAGAGCAGCAAGTGGCTGGGACGACGAGATTGACGACCCGGACGTGGAGCGTCTAATGGACGAAATTGTGAAGCGGGTCAGAGCAGAGGATCCTGCCAGGGGACGGTGGGATGTGAAGGGCGACAGAATCACAGTGTGGACGGATGCCAGTGCTCTGGCCATGGGAGTAGTTGTTGAAGTGGGTGACGAAGTAGTGGAAGACGGGAGCTGGCTTCGCCCCGACAATGGAGTACAACACATCAACATGGCAGAGCTAGACGCGGCCCTGAAAGGCGTGAACATGGCCATCCTGTGGGGCGCGGAAAGAGTCCGGTTGATGACTGACTCACGGACGGTGTACCACTGGATGACCGACCTCCTCAGTGGCAGGGCCCGACTGAAGACGAAAGCTGCCTCTGAAATGTTGATAAGAAGAAGGCTAAGCACCCTCAGGATGCTCGTGGACGAGTACGAGCTGGACGTGAATGTTCAGTGTGTCTCGTCGGCTGAGAACAAAGCGGACGCACTGACGAGAGTGCCGGACGCCTGGCAACGGGTGCTTATGTGCAAAGAGGAGGCTGCAGCATGCGCTGTGGGAGACGGAGACGACCCCGACAGGCTGGTGAAAGAGGTGACCCAAATTCACCACGCTTCTGGTCATCCTGGTGTCCGGAGGACGCTATACTTCGCTAGGAGGGCGAACAAGCTCGCTACGAGACGACTTGCGCAGGCCGTGGTGTCGGCCTGTCAGACGTGCAGGTCTGTTGATCCCGCTCCTGAAAAGTGGCGCGAAGGCCGCCTGGAGGTCGACACCACGTGGGACAGAGTCGCCGTCGACGTGACTCACCATCATGGGTGTCTGTACCTAACGGTGGTGGATTGCGGCCCATCCAGGTTTGCGATCTGGCGTCTCCTGCGGTACGAGACCGCCGCATGCGTCATTGCGGAGCTGGCGGCGATATTCTGCGAGCGGGGACCGCCGGCAGAAATGTTGCTGGACAATGCCACCACCTTCCACAGCAGGGCGTTTAGAGCTTTCGCCAACGACTGGAACGTCGCAGTACGATACAGGGCGGCGCATGTGCCGTCAGGGAACGGAGTCGTCGAAAGGAACCATCGCTCCATAAAGGTGATTGCGACGAGAGCGAAATGTGGGGTGGCAGAGGCAGTATACAGGTACAATACAACGCCGAAGGACGATGTCACTGAAGCTACGACACCTGCTGGTATGGTGTATCGGTACGACGTCCGAGTGAAAGACGTCGACCCCGTTCCGACAATGAGGGACGATGGACAGCAGGAGAGCCGCTACCACGTCGGAGATGCTGTCTGGGTGAAATCACCGAGAGCACGCTGTGACGAGCAGTATGGCAGGGGAGTGGTGACTGGTGTGGTGTCACCGCAAACTGTCGAAGTTGACGGTGTACCAAGGCATGTCCGTCATCTGCGTCCGCGTGCAGACGAGGCAGAGCAACCAGTTTCCGCAGAGGCAGAGCAACCAGTTTCTGGGGATGAGGAGCCCTGCTTTGTACGGTGTCCCATCGACCGGCATGACCGAGACGACCAGCAAGACCAACAGGAGGAAGCTGCGAGTGACACAGAGGCTGGGCCGAGGCGAGGTACGCGGGCTCGGCCTGTCACGCAGTTGTACGGAGACCCCGTGCCGAGCGATGTCTTAGATACCTACGTATGAGCGTTGTTAGCGTGTGATGTGAGCACTAGCGTCTGTTGGTTGCGATCAGGATCGGGGGGGAGTGTAGTGAAATGTAGTGGTGCAGCGGAGCGAGCGCTGGCTGGCCGGACCTGGCCGCTGGACGCTGCCCTGGGTACGGGCGGCCGTCACGCGCCCGCCGACGGTGAACCTGACACCGCAGGGGAATGGGGTCGGTGAACTGACGCCGCAGGGGAGGGGGCGGAGGGCACGCCCGGCCATTGTTCGGGATTAGGAGGCTGAGTCAGTCGGGAGTCAGGGCTGAGACTGGAAGGTGTTGTTGAGCGTTCTGTGGTGTGGCCGAGGTGGTGCAGAAGACCGTGCTTTGTCTGACTTTTGTAAGTTTGGAATACTCACTTTTTTCTTGAGACCTTTGAATTTGCCGGGCGGACGAACTGTGGTGATCAGAGACAACTCCTACACTTGGTGTAAACCGGGTTACGGACAAAAGTACGTATCGCTAAAGTACGTAGGACAAAAGTACGTAAGCAAAAGTACGTAGGATTAAAGTACGTATCGCAGAAGTACGTACAGTATAAAGTACGTATGGACAAAAGTACGTCAGGGACAAAAGTACGTATCGCAGAAGTACGTACAGCATAAAGTACGTATGGACAAAAGTACGTCAGGGACAAAAGTACGTATAGCTAATGTACGTAAGGTAAAAAGTACGTATGGACAAAAGTAAGTCAGGGACAAAAGTACGTATCGCAGAAGTACGTAGGGTATAAAGTACGTATGGACAAAAGTACGTCACGGACAAAAGTACGTATAGCTAATGCACGTAGGGTAAAAAGTACGTATCGGACAAAAGTACGTATGGCAGAAGTACGTAGGGTATAAAGTACGTAAACGTATGGACAAAAGTACGTCAATTACAAAAGTACATATAGCAAATGTACGTAGGGTATAAAGGCAAAGACGCAAGGTAAAGACCAAGATACCTTTAAAGGGACCCTCCCACCTTAACATTAGTTTTGAGTTGAGATAGCCAAATTGGTGGCCATGACCTGCAAATACCGGTTTGGACACTCACAACATCGAAAAACGCTTTAATTCGAAGATATGGAATTTCAAACTTGCAGTTTTCGTATTCTAAGGGGCTAATGCATTGGAATGCCCCCTTAGAATTTGTGACGTCAGCGGAGATCTAACGATTTTTAAATCTTAGACTAAAACCATCGTTAACACGTGGTGGTATACGCTGCTTTGCGCGCAACGTCTGCCGCACTTTAGGGCTGCCAAATTATTGCTTCCAAATAAAGTCGCTAGTAACAGATCCCAAAATCCAAGATCCCAGATCCCAAAAAGTAAACAAAAGTAAAAGCCTAATATCTTGAAAACCAGTGAATATTTTTCGGTGAAATTTGGTAGATATTCGTTTTCGCTCTTTCTGAACCAAGGGACATCACTTTCATGCCAATTCATTAACTTTTTTGAAGGTGGGAGGGTCCCTTTAAGAAACCTTGGTAAGGTAAGGTAAGGTAAGGTAAGGTAAGGTAAGGTAAAGACCTTGGGCAAGACGCCCCAGATAATTTATTTTGCTACATAGGCCTACCTAAATTTTGTCCTTCGTCACCTGGAAGGCCAAATTTGTGTTCAATGTGTTCTTTGGACATTTTACTTTAAATTCCACCCTCAAATTTATTCACTTATGATCGGACTCCCAGCTAGGAAGTGATTTGTGAAGCAACTGCAAATGGGGCATTTACCCCAACCCCAGGGCAAAACGCCCCACGGCCTGAGGCAAGATGCCCCATACTCTAGAGTCTAGCTTAAAGGGACCCTCCCACCTTCAAAAAAGTTTATGAATTGGCATGAAAGTGATGTCGCTCGGTTCAGAAAGAGCGAAAAAGAATATTTACCAAATTTCACCGAAAAATATTCACCGGTTTTCAAGATATAAGACTTTTACTTTTGTTTACTTTTTTTGGGATCTCCGCTGTTTCTAGCGACTTTATTTTAGAAGTGCGGCGTTTGCGGCAGATGTTGCGCGCTAATAGCATATACCACCGCGTGCTACAAAACGTTTTAGTCAAACATTTAAAAATCATTAGATATCTGCGCTGACGTCACACATTCAGAGGGGTATTCCTAAGCATTAGCCCCTCTGAATCAAAATGCTGCAATTTTGAAATTCAATATTTCCGATTTAAGGCATTTCTCGATGTTGTGAGTGCCGAAACCGGTAATTGTGAGCCAGGGACCCCATTTTGGCTATCTCAACTCAAATCTAATGTTAAGGTGGGAGGGTCCCTTTCACGGGCGTAGGAACGTCATGAAAAGTGGGTGGGCCACCCTGTCAAGGGGCCTCCTTTTCCAGGGGCCTCCTACTTTCATGGGCCTCCAACTTTTGCCTCGTCCGCTGGCTGCTTTCAAGTATGACCTCCTAATCCAGCTTCTGAGATCGGGCAGATGTACCTACCCAGGGGCGTAACCGCTTAAGCGAACAGTACCTACGGAAAGTCCGCACCATTTTTAAAACTTATTCCCCCTCCGATTTTTTTTAGAATCTATTTGCCGCAAACGGCGCATGACCCCTGAAAACCCTTAAAGGTAGTGTGCCAGCTCCAGCTGCTTTTGTGCGTTCTTGGACATTTTCATTGGCTCATGTACACCGAGGGTAGCACGCTGGAGAAACACTAGGAGGTTTCTAGCCTTCGGGAGGGGGTTCTTCGCAAACACTGTATGTGCGACGGCCCATGCCAGGAGGCCGCTGACAGGGTCGGCGGGCAGCTGGCACACCTTCACTCCTTCCACCACCAGGGTGCTGTCAACAATGCCGACGTTGTCCCCCCGGGACAGCGATCCCTCATCGCACTCCATCGCCTCCAAGAGTGACGGGATGGCCTCGTGCTCTGGAATGAAAAGCCGGGTGCATGCGTCATCAAACAAGCTTGGATTGACCTACTGGGGACGAATAATCAGATTAATCGCAGGCAGGGCTGCGGAGTCGGAGTCGGAGTCGGTCGGAGTCGACAGTTTTGACCGGAGTCGGAGTCAGAGTCGATATTGGAAACCCCAGCCTGAGTCGGAGTCGGAGTCACCGAAAATCTGTCGACTCCGCAGCCCTGCCCAGGGCTGCGGAGTCGATGGATTTTCGGCGACTCCGACTCCGACTCCGGCTTTCAAAAACCAGCTCCGACTCCGACTCCGACTCCGGGCAGAATTGTCGACTCCGACCGACTCCAACTCCCGACTCCCGACTCCGCAGACCTAGCAGGGCTGCGGAGTTGACAGATTTTCGGTGACTCCGACTCCGACTCCGGCTCGGGTTTCTTAAATCGACTCCGACTCCGACTCCGACTCCGGTCACAACTGTCGACTCCGACCGACTCCGACTCCGACTCCGACTCCGCAGCCCTGGCCCTGCCAGGTGTGCGGAGTCGGAGTCGGGAGTTGGAGTCGATCGGAGTCGACATTTCTGCCCGCAGTCGGAGTCGGAGTCGGAGTTGGTTTTTGAAAGTCGGAGTCGGAGTCGGAGTCGCCGTAAATCCATCGACTCCGCAGCCCTGATCGCAGGTTCTGCCGTCTACTGCACGATCGGGAAATCCCGGGTCAACGGCAGAATTAAGAGCCCCTGATCATTGCATTATATGTAAGCATGCCGAAAGCAAGTGGGGAAGACAGATTCTGTCCCTCACTCTTCAGTGGTCATGCTCATATGGGCAATTGTCTTCCTTCAGCTTAGGGAAACTAACCGCAATGTGTTCAAGTAGCAGAGGAATAGGTTAGGCAGCGTCGACTAATAAAAAAATCACTATGAATTATTTCTCACCTGTTCCAAGCTGGTATACTTCCTTGAGTTTCAACAGGCACTCCTTCATCGCTTCATGGGGCGATTCCCCCAGAGGTCGACCCCTGATCCGTTCGAATTCGGTCCAGATCTGGAGAGAGAGAAAAAAAAGTTAACTGAAAAATAATGAACCATATATACCTAGCAGGACCATGGAAATAACCACCGATAGTTATCAGGTACCATATTGTAGCTCACTCCACTGAAGCGCTCAGGATACTCGGGCCCACTCATGCTTGCAGGTCAGAACTGAAAAAGCACTAGGGACAGGCCAAGGAAGGGCTCCTGACGGGGTACCGTGGGCAGATGCTATGACGGTAACGCACTGGTCAAGGCACCATTGACACCGAGGCAGTGTTTCACATAAAGCATCGAGCAAGGCAGCGTAGCACCGCCAGGGTCCAAAACACATGACACCCAGATAGCAACAGTCGCCACCTGCCAGCCGTAATTAAATAAACAGCTGTTAACCCCCGCCAGCACTGATAATCCTGCCTCCTTCGACGGCACAAGGGGGGGGGGAGGTACGAACCCCATCCCCTCTCGTTAGCCGGTGACCTTGGAGGTCAGATCAACTGCTGGTAGAGGGACTGGTTGGAGCTACACGAGACGGAGACCTAATACTACAGTCTGTTTATCTTCAAAAGGCACATGACCACGAAAACAATTCTGAAGTTTTTCTTTAAACATATAAATGTGTATTTTGTACTTCGTAGGATCGCTATAATGTCGGCCTCAACTCTCGCCAGCCCTAACGGTTTTCTATATACACCCAGGCCGAGGGCGGGGGGGGGGGGGAGGTACGACCCCCCTCGCCGTTTCGCTCCTAATTGAGCTAGAGCGTCGCGAAAAAACGAACGTGTCGGCCGTCACGAGACGCAGCAAACGCCGCGGCCCACCGGCCTGCTAGACCCCGCGGGCGGGGCGCCGGGACCGTTCCCCCAATCGGATCACTACTGGCGATAAGATAAGGCGAAACGGAAAAAATCGCTCTCCTGTAAAATTATTAAACGCAAGTTATGCTTTTCTTGCTTTCACGGCAGATAATGGGAGAGGTCAAGTGACTGACCTGAACTCGGGTGACCCATGTAAAAAATTCGAGATATACGAAATGTGAGTATCTGGGGCCTTGTTACTCTCTGCAAGTTACATCTTCCTCAGAAAGATTTCCTGACATTGGCGGCGTCACGAAAGTGCGACATTTTTTGGCCGTGCAGTTACTTATGACGTCATAGGTTAGTGACCTGACCTGACCCGAAAATGAATTAGGTGTCAGAAGATCCGGCTTCAAAGGTCAGGTAAGCCAAATTTCAGCTCGATATCCCAAACGCCTCCGGAGCAGTCGCGGAAAACCGTCGGGGGGGGGGCGGAGGGTAGCCCAGCTCCTTCCTCAGCCGGGGAGCCCTCTGTTTCATTCATTCATTCAATTTCAGCCCCCTGCGCCACAGACAAAATTTTGAGTGAAGGACCTGCGATGAATGACGGCCACACCCTTCATCCGTTCTTACCGAGAGAGGGAATGCAGCCAGCAACGATGCAAACCGAGCTGCGGGATTTACTGAACTGAAGCATATCCGACACTTATTACATGATTTACACAATGATTTGAATAAACACAAGGCAAAAACAACTGACAATATACAGTGCACGTACCTCGTTGACGTCGCACATCCAGGTGTATCGCGACAGTACGTCTGAGATGGGACGTTTTTGACCGACCAACATCCACCGCCTGTCCGCGAAGGACTCCTCCTTAAGACGGGCCCGCTCTGCGTCTGAGAGACCGCCAGCCGCGAGGATGTAGCCGGCCTTCCTGGCTGCCGGGACTTCGTCGAATTCCGGCGGGCCATACTTGGGTAGCCCGGTATCCCTGGCCACGCTCGAGAGCTTGATCCGCTTCGCCTTGCGTTCGGCATCCAGGTCAGCATGTGTCTTGGGGTATTTGAAGCGGGCGTTCTTGAATTTGGCTCGGAGTTTGTCCTTTACCATATCCTGTAACACATCACAAGAAATGTTGTGTTATATACAATTAATTACAATGTCATTTTATATACAATTCGCCATTTAACTAGTTTTGGTGAACCCCTCAGCATTGGCCTGGTTTGCCAGAAAATGAAGTGTAGCGACGTCACAAAAGCGCTGTTTTCTGAGAAAAATCGACCTCATTTGAAAAAAAGGCAATGGCTGATTAGTGTGGCATAAGGTATACCGAATTTCATGCTTTATAACGGCCACGGTTTCGGAGTTATCGCAAAGGGGTCAGAATCTGCCCTCTCCCAACGACGCGCAGTTAAGCAGCCGGTAATATCATACGAATAATCACGCATCCAACGCTTAAAACAGCGAACCATGACCAAAAAATTGACATGTGACGTCACTGTAGCGCGACCTGGGCCTCGTTTCATAAAGCGAGTCCGTAACTTACGGCGGCTTTTGGTCTTGTATTGCAAGTGCATGTGAAGTGATGACGTTAGTTTGAATCGTTGAATTTATCTATCTTGCAAGCAAGAACAGAAGGGAGAAGGAGAAATAAATGTATCGCTTCACATGCACTTGCAATACAAGACCAAAAACCGGCGTAAGTTACGGACTCGCTTTATGAAACGAGGCCCTGGACTCAGCTCGACACAACCTTGTCATGACATGCACCTGCTATTCAAAATTAAGTGGGCCAAGTTTCATGATTCTAGCTCTAAGCGCTCCAGAAAGAATGAGGGAAAAGTAAAGAAGGAGCTATATTGCCCCCCTCCCCCCCAAAGCGCCTGCTGAGTGACCGGGAAAACAACACTTCAAGGAAACCACAAAGCAATAAGAAAAAGAGAACAAGAGGATATGATTACGATGGCCTTGGAAAGGTCCTTGTGGAGGCGGACCGCCGGTCCGTAGGTTCCAACCAGGTCGGCCGCCCACTGTCGATACCGCCTTCCAGGATAGCTGTTCAGGCACGGGAAGGAAAACGTGGGAACAAAATTAGCATGAGGTACCCTGGCCTAAGTCACTGCAACTGTGCTGCAACGTGCCGAAACCTGTCGTACGTTATCACCAGTATCACCGAGGAAAAAGGTCATGCTATTTAGTTATATGATTAAACACAATGTATCAAAACGATAGATAGATAATGGTCTGTGGCCGAAATATCTGTTAACGATTAATCCCTTGAGCATATGTCTACTTTTCTAATACACACCGAAGAAAAAGGTCATGCTATAACAAGGTTTTCATAAACATGATCCTCGTACAAGCGCTTCCAAGCTACAAGCTTCCCAATTGACATTTTAAGTCAACAACCAGTTGTTACGTTGTACAGTTGTAAGTTACGTAAATGACTGACTGACTGACTGACTGACTGACTGACTGACTGACTGACTGACTGACTGAACATGGGAATAAAACGCACTTATTTGTGAATATATGCACAGACACGTACGTGGGAAGAAAAGTCAACCAAACCAAACAACAAAAAAGAAACAATTAAACAGGCTTAACTTACAACGTGGTCGCCGAGACGACGTCGAAGCACCCTTGCATGAGTTCACTCCAGTGAAGTTCGTTAAGCGGGTCCGTTGCCACCAGGGCTTGGCGGCATCTTGCAGACAGGCGCTTGTGAACAGTCTCCCAGAGGTCATCTGAATCAGCTGCTCCACCTGGTCGTGGCCCGTCCACTCCACTCTCTGGTTCTGGAGCGTCTTCTCCCTCTCGTCTCGGTGTATCGGCGACAGCCAGCGTGTCGGAGGCGCGCCCTGTCAAGCACCACAAATTCATGCAAAAACTCGTGGTATGTATTGACACGGGGCACAAAAATGGTGATGGGAAACCAATCTGTTCATTTTAATCCTATAAGTGGCAGGTTCCTGGTTACGTCCATTAGCACCAGGGGACCGGGGACAAAATCTCCCCCCCCCCACACACACACACGGATATCAAGCGATCTACCAAACCGATTTTCAAAATTCAAACACTACTCGATTGCTCCTTCCCATTTCAACACAAAAAAATGTAATCCATGATTTGGGGACGCAGTAGAGGGGGGGGGGGGGGCGGGGGCTCCAAGCATCACACAACTCGCACATCAGCGTTGCTCTATTGCCGCTGAGTGGTGGAGCTTCCAGAAAATGGGTCCCTCGAGCCGCCGCCGTTCAAGATACAGCCAACATTTTTTACATGTCTTATGGTTTTAAGAAATATCTGAAAATTTCATCAGTATAGCTCAATTTGATTTGAGGATGCTTATGGAACACATAAGGAGGCGATTTACCCCCTCCCCCTCTTACCACTAATAGGGTTAAACAATGAATATACACGAGACGTAGGGCAAATCTACGTGAATCATTCCTGCGCGACCAGCATTCTTGGAACAGACATGCTAATAGCACCCAGAGCACGACCGGAGCTGTGTGCAACGCAGCTATTGGCATTACAAATATATTGTTAAGATTTAGGAACTTAGCAAGTCTTTGAAAAATATCCCGAGTCAATACTCCCACAATTGCAAAAACTAAATACAACGATGCACCTACTTTCAGCGATGGCAGCGACGGTTGTCGTGCTCTCCTCAGTCAGCAGTAGCGTTGTAGTCGAACTTGTTTCAGCCGAAGAGAAGTCCACTGATACTGTGTCCAGGTCGACCACCGGGAGACCCATCGTTACTCTGATCCGCGCCTTATCGGGGAGGTCTTGGGGCCTGCACAGTACGAACAAGTCGAAGTCCTTGTCATAATATTCTATGCTGATCACGCAATTCGGCGGCAAGTTGCATTTCTCGCGTATCTTGTCTTCCAACTCCTCTCTGGTCGCTACGACGAGCAGTTGCCTCTTTTCCCCGTCATTCTTGTCTTCTAGGATGTAGCGCAGCTCCATGTTTCTAAAGGAACACGTAGCATTTGTTAAGTAAAGTAAAGTAAAGTATATACATAAAAACAATTAATTCAATCTACTGTGAGTGTGACCAACTTGGTTTAGCATTGGGGGAGGATGTATAAAAAAAGTTGTGTGAGGATGTCACTTTTTTCAGAAAACTCGTATATAGCCTCATTCAAGGTGATAAATAACGGGTGGCGTCACGAGAAATTACGCGCAGAAATTACCTAATGTGGATAACTATACCTTACGTCACTGGGTAACGTCAATGTGGAACACTAATTTTGCTGTTCATGACAAAAAGTGGTGATGATGTAATTATAAAATTTCTCAGGATGTCATTATGCTTATCATTGGGGTGGTTTTCCCCGCAACATTACCCATTTGGCTAGACTGGTGACAAATTACTTATTTATCCATTCAATCAGTAGGGAATCATCAATCACCTGCACTAGAAAGTCGACTCTTGGTGAAGGCCTAGAATGAAGTGATGCTCCACCACGTACCGCCCCAGGTACAGTGCCAGTGGATGCGTGTCACATAGCAGATGATGCGGTACCGTCACCACACCAGGGGCGGTCCGTACTTCAAACGCGCCCAAGTGCCGACTATACCCCAGAATGTCCATGCGCTGACAGAAGAATGACACATTTCCATCGAGCTTGTTTTTCAGAAGTGCCTTTACGCGTCCCATCTGAGGACGCACGGCTCCAGCGTCGTTAAAGCACAAGACGCTACCTTGGCGGTATGTCGTGCCTTTCACGACACCCTGCAGCGCTACATGACTCGAATCGGTTGCATCCGCTGGAACGTCCGCGTCTGCCGCGCTACAGGGGACAATGCTTTCTTTGTAGGTGAAGAAATCCTCGGAGGACATTTTGGGCGCAATCCAAAGCTGATGGCGCCAGGCCAATGTATAGGCAGGGTTTTTGTAATTCCTTGAGGTTTCCAGGAATTTCTTAAGTTGCTGATGTTTATGCTCGTAGCGGAGCGTCGACACAGATGAAAGCGCACCATGTTTTCTGATTTCGTTTGAATAATGCAGGAGGTAATGCAGTTTTGGCGTGATTCGGATGCCTTCGAAGTGACCTTTGAATTTGCGAAGCCACTGCTCGATCAAAGACTGAAGATTTGTCAGTTCGGCGTCTTTGAAAGATGGCGAGATGATCAGCCGGACTAGCGTCAGGTAGGTGAGAAAAATCTCCCATGTCTGGTTTCCTTCTGGTATATGTCCACCGATGATCAAAGGAAGGAGCCTTAAAAGTGTCCAGCACTCCTTAGCTGTTGCTTTGCAGACCACTTGACCCTTCACCCACTTCAGACTTTCCGGTCGATTTTCTTCTCCCCTAGAATAAGGAAATAGCAGCAGAGCCTGGTTCACAGTGTCCAGGGTAACGGTTCGCGTTTTCACCAGTTCAGTAAGTACCGCACCGATCACCAGCCTGGCACTTCCCTCCAGAACGTCATGAGCGTAGTCTGGTGGCAAACTTTCTACCACATGGAAAGAAGCCAGTGCGTTCAACTCACACTCCGTCTTAATGCCAATTTGGTTACAAAGGTGCTCATCGAAGTTTGCTTCCCTCAATCTCGACAGTTCCTCCTCATAGAGTTCAGCAGTTCGAGGAACGCACTCATTTTCAGCAGTAATCATCTGAATGGTATCTGGAGTAGCGTAGCAAAACCTACACACCTTCCGCGCAGTGCTGAAGTTCTGCGTGTATCCGCCGAGCGTGTGACAGCCAAGATTGTCACCAATCAACACTTCGACTGATATCTTTGCTCGTATTTCTTCACCTCGGGCGGTCACTCCGATGGGCAGGCCCGTTTCTTCAAGAAACTTTGCATCCCTTACCAGAGGCTCCAATATCTTCCCCCGGTGTTTTTTGAAGTATGTGGAGCGACAGACACAACAAAAAAACATGTCGTTTTCTGGACCGAAACGGCACAGATCCGAGGGAAAAATAAATCCCACCGAGCTTATGCTTTCCAGCCTTGTTGCCCACAGGATTAAGAATTTCGAAGTCGTCATAGAAAATGAACAACGGCAGGTGGTGCTTTCGGGGTTGGTGATTTACACCGCTCCGAACGTCTCCATAAACACCGTCACCGAAGAGAGCCGCGTCTGGCAGCTCGCACAGCAGTGAAGATTGTACCACAGGATGTCTAACGAGCTGTTCGCACTGCTGAATCAGCGAGACATACTGAAATGTCAGCTTGTCACCTGCCTGGTTTGTCCCGAGCTCTATCGTCTTTGGCTTGACCACTTCAAATTGGTTTTCAATGTACTTCTTCACCGAACGATAGTTGTGAAGGCTGGCACAAGCACTTATTAGTGGCAGGCGACTGACAGGTAAATCAGGATATTCTTGCCTTTCTTGTATGGCCTGCAGACATCTTGAGCGCAAGAAACTCGTAACTTCGCCACATGCATTTTCGGTAAGATTGTAATCACTTCGCAATTTATTCAAGAAGAGTGCAATCTGGCGCTGATTGCCATCGAACGCTGCCTCCTGAGATAGGACTCCTGATGTAGATGAAGCACTTTCCGACCTTCCCTCTTCATCCAAAGCAGGAGCGCCAACAGAATCAGGCTCTACCACAGAATTCGAGCCTGCAGCCTCTGGTTGTGAAAGCAATTCAACTCGTTGTCCAACTAGTTGTGAATCATTTACATTGTGCCTTTTGCTGTGCTCGACCCAGTACCGAACTGACTTGTACGACCTATCACATATGACACAAGTCAAGACAAACCCAGGCTCCGAAGAATGTCTGCGAAGGTGCTTTGTAAACTCTTTGAAATTTTGATTTGAATATGTGCAGAAAGAGCACTGGTTCACATCCTGAAAAGAAAGCGTTGATGAGCAAGCCATGTAGACTAGGGGCATATGAATGATGCCTATGCTAGGCCTTTGAGTGGTGAAGTTGCTGAACTTCGTCCTTTTTCAACTCAGTTTCTGTTGCAGTGTCGCAATCAACAATTAGACACACGCACCTGCTTCATTAAGCAAATCGTTGCTCAAACATAATTACTCTGTTGCGTATAAGAGCATAGAACTACGCACGCGGAAGGGAGTAACTGTGGTAAATGACTCAGTCTGTTCCGTAGAATCAAATCTCCTACGGCGGCAGTAGACGTTTCCCATGTTGACCTATACCTACCAGATGGTAGTAATCACATAAATGAGCATAAAACTTCTTGAAAGAGTTAAGTTATTGTGCAGATTACATGCATGCAAATGGATACAACCATCTACATCACACATTAGGTACTTCTTATCGACAAGTTTGCGAAGCCTTCGTATTGAAATTACATATAACCCCGTAACCTTCATAATCAACACAGTGAAGCTTCAAATGAACTTCCCGGTTCTGTAAAATATAATACATCCACGCCTCACATCCGCATCCTAACCTGACTTTGAGCTCGTACCCTTCTCTCCGAAGCAGCCTCTCAGGACCCTGCGCCTGCACCAGGCCTACGACGCACGTCCATAGGCGCGGGAGCCGGGGGGGCAGTGGGGGCAGCTTGCCCCCCCCCCCCCCAACTCTGGGGCCGTCGGGGGCGGTGCCCCCACAGCTTTGAGACGGAATACCACACTTTTTTGCAAATGTTTTCTTTTTTTGTTGAAAAAGCCGAGGGGTGAAAAATAAGTGGCCTAAAACCGGTGAGAAAACTAGATTTGGGGGTACCCTAGCAGGGGTGGAGAATTAGGGGTTTTGGGGGTGCTCGAGCACCCCCTGAAATTCAAAAGTCATCATATAATAGTGCTCCAGGGGTGCTTAAATTACGTCTGCGACACAAACTGTTTTGCGTAAGTCGCGAGGAGAGTGATTCTGCTGAAAAACGAACCAATATGTGCGTTTCTACGCAAGAATTCGACGATTCTATTCGCCAGGTGCTAGAAAAGCACCCCCTGGGATTAGGACAATTCTCCGCCCCTGTACCCTAGGTTAATCTCTATTATGGTGTGCCCCCCCCCCCCCCAGTCGGAAAGTAGTTCCCGCGCCCCTGCGCACATCCGCTCCAGGCTTTCTGGAAACTCTACAACAGACGACCACTCCCAACAGTCATCATCCGGCTTGGCAAACCCCGAGGCTACGCGAGGTTCCCCGAGCCTCAACAAGGCCGTTCATGGTTCCCAGTACCGCACGTTCAGACCTCCCTGTCATGAGTCGGATTCCACTCAAGGCGTGATGTTTTGTTCCGCGAATTGGCTGGGCGAAGGAAGGGGATATTCACACTGCAGCTACGCGGTAGGTTCGATTCTCACACCAGCACTTCAATCATCGTGTTCGAGTAAAAAGAGCAATGTGAACTGACCATTCTGGAGCCACCCCTGCTGTATAATTTGATAGCAGCGGGGGAGGGGGGGGGGGTGCTAGGGAGAGAGGTAAGGGGGAGGGGAGAGCAGACCCGGCAGCTCGTTCATCGATTACCTCTACCGGACGTGGGATTTCGTCATCCAGTATACCGGTGCAGAGCGTGAGATCTCCACCGCCGTGAGGCGAGAGGGAGGGGTACTGCTGGACTCGCCCTCTCGCCCCCCTTCTCTCTCTCTCTCTCTCTCTCTCTCTCTCTCTCTCTCTCTCTCTCTCTCTCTCTCTCTCTCTCTCTCTCTCTCTCTCTCTCTCTCTCTCTCCCTCTCTCTCTCTCTCTCTCTCTCTCTCTCTCTCTCTCTCTCTCTCTCTCTCTCTCTCTCTCTCTCTCTCTTGCTGCCGAAGTAGGTACTCCAAATTTCCCACAATACGGCACGTCAGTCGAGTCGACAGTTTCAGTTTGTATCATAGTCTGTGGCGTTAATCCGTCAGCCTTGCTTATGTAACACCTACGTTTGATGGTGAAATATACACTGGTTATTGCAATGCAATATGATGCGTCAATTGGCTGGAATAATACTCTGTTTTACGTAATTTATTTCCTGTGTGCATGATTGTGGAACTACGCCGTGAAAGAACAAGTTCACGATATTGAATAATAATATTATTGA